CATAGTATGGAGAGCGAGGAGCAGCCATGAACTGACTGACAATGTGAATAACATGGGCAATGTCTGGACGAGTAACTGTGAGATAAACAAGATTGCCAACTAGCTAACGATATAAAGTAGCATCAGATAACAGGTGACCATCAAGAGGTGTGAGACGAGTTTGATGATCAACTAGGGTAGGCGCAGTCTTGTAATCGATAAGACCAGCACGAGCTAGGAGATCACATGTATACTTGGCCTATGTGAGAAATTAACCAGAATGATATTGAGAAATTTCCAAGTTGAAGAAATAACTAAGTAAACCCAAATCTTTGATCTCAAACTAGCAACTAAGAAACTGTTTACGACTAGAAAGACCCACTGTGTCATCCCCAGTAATGATCATATCATCCACATAGAGAAGAAGAATAATAATACCATGCTCTGTCTTGCATATAAACAAAGCAGAATCATGGGCACTGAAGGAGAAGCCAAAGTCATGAATTATCGAACTGAACTTGGCAAACCAAGCACAAGGAGCTTGTTTCAAACCATACAAAGCACGACGAAATTTGCAAACTTTGGTAGACGGAACTAAGGAACCAAAAGGAGGTTGCATTTAAACTTTCTCAGTGAGATCACTATTGAGAAAAGCATTCTTGACATCCATTTGACAAAGACTCTAATGGCGAGCAGCAACAATGGCAAGGAGGCTACGAACTGAAGTAAAACAAGCAATAGGGGCAAATGTTTCCTCATAATTAATACCATATTTCTGAGTAAACCCCCGAACAACAAATCAAGCTCTGTAACACTTAATGGAACTATCAGACTGGGTTTTGATCTTGTAAATCCATTTGCAACTAATAGCACTATTTCCAAGTATAAGGTCAATTACATCCCAAGTATAAGTTTTATCAAAAGTTTGCAGTTCATCAGTCATAGCTTGTTGCTAAAGACGGTTAAAGCAAGTCTCTCAATGGGAAATAGGTTCATGAGAAAAAAAAGCAGTAGAACCAACAATGAAATCACAAAGAAGTACAGAAGGTTGTGTTACCCGAGTATAATGATGAAGAGGTACATCTAGTGTAGAAGATGATGGAGTAGAATAAAGGGATATATCAGGCTCACTGTGAGAGAGAATGAAGATAGGACTAGGAGCAGGAGTTGAAGCTAGAGTAGGAGCAGGAGCTGGAGCTGGAGTTGGAGCTGGAGCTGGAGCAGAAGCAGGCTAAAGATCAGAGAGTATAGTAACAGGACCAGGAGGTAGAGCAAAATCCTCAAGATGGGCCTAAGTCATCATGTCGGAAATAGGGTCTTTATCAAGCTCATCAAACAGAAGAGAAGGATCTGTAAAGAATGGTGTAGTAAGATGAGTGGACAAATGAAACTTAGATAGAGAAGAGAACATCTTGTGTTTCCAAAATACCACATGGTGAGAGACACGGAGACGATGAGAAAGAGGATTTCAACAATGATAACCTTTATGTTCAATCTCATACCCCAAGAAACAACATAAACGGGTGCGAGGTTCTAATTTGGTATGCTTATGAGGTTGAAAAAGAACAAAACAAGCATATCCAAACACACGAAAACTAGTATAGGCAAGAGGTGTGCCATACAGATGCTCATCTAGAGTTTGATTGTTACTAAAATTTTTAGGACAAGAAGAAGATATTAAAAGAGCACGAACAGTATCTAAGATATAGCAATGTTTGCGCTCAATACAACCATTATAGTGAGAAAGTGTGCCATTTTGACGAAAGAATCTCAAAAAATGAGTTTCTTTATATTCTTGGTCATTATGAGCATGAAAAATTTTAATGGTGGAAGAAAACTGAATTTTGACCATTTGTGAAAATCACAATATGTTTTAGTGTAACTTAGAACGAGATTTCATAACAAATAACTAGATAAAACGAGTGAAATCATTAATAAATATGACAAAATATTTAGATCCCCCCATAGTGGTATTAGGTGAAGGCCTTTAAACATCAAAGTATATGAGATTAAAAGATGCATAAGACATAGAGGTACTAGTATGAAATGGTAAAGTATGTTGTTTGGCATGTTGACAAGATAGACAGTCTAGTTTATCAATTGGAACAAAACCTAATTGACCACTTGAAACTAGAGATCGTAAATGACCAAAAGACACATGACCTAACCAAGAATGTCATAAAGCAAAAGGGGAAATAGTAGTAGCAAGAGCAATAGTCTAGATATGAGAAGTACTGGATGATGGAATATGTAAATGGATGAGCTCGCACAAACGACCATGTCTACGACCTCTCCCAAGAGTTTGTCCCGTCTTCGGATCCTACACAACACAGCCAGTTGGAGAAAATAAAACAGTGAGACCAAGATCACTTAGTTGACCAATAGAGATAAGATTAAGTGTAAGGTTGGGGATCAGATAAATGTAAGGCAAAAAGATATTAGAAGTGGAGATATGACCTATATGACTAACATGCATTTGAGAGGATCAAATAAGTGTGAGGCAGAGAGATATTAGAAGTAAAGATATAACCTATATGACTAACATGTATTTGAGAGTCATCAGCAGTGTGAATAACTGGTAAATTAGAAGAAGATGTAATGGAAGAAAAAAATGTAGGGTCAGAGGTTATATGATTGCAACAAGCTGAATCAAAATATCAAAAAGCTGTACTTTGAGTGATTGAGAGAGCAGTAAAGGGTGTATTAGAGGTAGAGGCAGAGGTAGAAGTAGAAAGAACCTTTTTCACAATGACTTCACTATTATGAAGAGTGTAGGCTGGTGAAGTTATAGCAGAGCGACCTAGAGAATGTTAAGTATGTAGCTGGCAATAAGTAGCAGTTAAGGCAAAGTAAGCCAAAGAGTGATACCGACTATGAGCCGTAGGTGGTTTAGAAGAACCCCTGTGCTGAGAAGAGTTGTTTGAACAATCCATGGAGTGAGATAAATATGACTTACAAAAAGGATCTAGTGATGTCGGAGTAGAACTGCGTAAAACTGAGTGCACTAGTGAATCCAAAAGGTCAAAATTAGTAAGGAATCAAGTTCAAAAATAGGTCAAAAAATAAGTGCACCAACCTTAAAATAGCCCAAAACAATTAGGAAGTACAGATAACGTCGCACATTAGCGACAGAGGCGTGCGACACATTGTAGTGATGGCGCTGACGTCAAGGACACACCTAAAGATGACGCCATCAAAGACTATAACGGAAGTAGGCGCACGTGGCAAATGTGTGGTGTGTGATCGTTTAGCAACTAGCGCGTGGTAGCGTGTGGAGAGACTGGTGGCATCTTGAACGACGCACTTGGAAATAGGTAGCGTATGAGAGCACGCCTGGGCTTCTTTTGAGGCATGGTTGGTGGCTCTAGAATCGTCTAGAAGAGACAAATATGATGGTAGTCGTATTTTTGTGATTACGGCCACTGGTGAGAGTATAGAAAAATAACCAATTAAATTAAAATTATCGGTGTCTGAGAGTGTCGGTGGGAAAGAGAGAATATAACTCTATAAATTTCAATGAATGAATATAAGTGAATGTAAGACTCTTTTATATAGGGGAGAAGGAGAAGTTAAGTATGGTAAAACACAATATGGTAATATATATATATATATATAGCTAACTTCTAATAACAGAGCTTTGGACCAACCAGTAATATCTCTGTAAATTTTATTCAATGAGTTGTTGAACAAATTATCATCAATTTAAATTTTTTGTTGTATAGAATTCATCAAACTCAACTTTCAAATTAGTCCACCCAAAATGCTCTTCACAAATCTATGAATTTAATGAGAGATTAAAATGATTGAACTAACCTAATGCAGATTGAGAAATGATAATTATAAAAACATGTAATAGCACATCCGCCCGATATGTCAAATTCAATGTGGTAGTCCAACAATTCTATTTTAGCATACCAAATGAACTCCACCATCACTCCATGTCAATTTTGACATGAAGACCACTTCATGCCTTATCTTTTCTTTTTTCCTTTCTTTTTTCTTTAAATAAAATAAAACTAACGGTACACCGGAGTTGAAATTTTAAAAACAAATTATTTGACATATCTTGTAAAGAATTTTCATGTCAAATTGACATATTATCAATTTGTTACCCAAGCCTTCATAAAAATTTGAAATACTAAATTTTAAAAATTTGAGTGAAGATACTCTAAGATCTACATAGGCACAATGAAAATGTTCTAAAACATACATTTTGTTAGGCTGTATATTTTTAATAACTAACAATCAGAAATTCCAGCGATGACTTTGACATGCACTTCGATATTAAAAATAAAAAATAAAAAATGCGACATAAGCGCTCCTATAATGTCAACAAATTTAGGCCAAGTTTGGAAAGATAAAAAAAATTTAAAAAATTAAAAAGTTACTCAAAAAGTTAACACTATTCACCAAAAGTTAACAATTACGGCTGCACAATTTTCAATTCTAATTTTTCCTACAAACCAATTTTTACAATTTTTTAATACACATTTTTTTTATATAAAGTCAAAAAATTAACCCAAACATCCATATTTTTTTCTTCAATTTTTTAGTCTAAAAAGACAAAAAGTACACTTATTTAGGATATTCCAAACAAGCCCTTAATAATGATTGAATACATTATTAGGATTTTAAAGATGGCCAAAGCATTACACGTATTTGGACATTTCAAACACTATCTAGTTTTTTTTTTTCAGAAAAGAAAAGAAAAATCAAATTTAAAAAAAAAATTAATTGATAAAAATAAATATTAAAAAGATATTTTTAAAATTTTAGAAATTATTTTTAATCGTTCAAAAGATAAAATTATAAAAATAACAATAAGTGTTTTTGAATTTTATTTCTTTTGTTACCTATTATTTTTTAGAAAAAATTTCTATAACAAATTTTTAAAAATCAAACCCAACCAAACATAGAAGTGATTGGGCAAAACTCCCTGGTGAAAGCTATGGAACAAGATATGCATCTAGCATGATAGGACTAGTTCAATGATTTCATATTGACTTCTTAAAACAAATATATGAAACACATAAAATAGTTGGTTATTTTGCATTTGAGTACTTTTCATGGAGTTCCACTCTCAAAGGATCTTCACATTTCACTTCACAATGGTCAACAATATTCAACTACACACCATTGTTGAATTGGCCACCGAAAGACACAGAAAGAAAACAACAAAATAAATAAATAAACGCATACCAAAAACATTAACATATAGTTAAAGAAAGCGAAATATTCTTTTGGTCTACACAAAATAACAAAGGAAGGTGCGAGGAAGGAGAGGGTACAAGGACACCTTCCCACTTCCTTTTCAACGCATTACCAACACGTGCAGTTAGGCGCGGTCCTCTTCTACCCAGGATGATAGAGAAAATTATATCCTACTATTTCTAATCTTCATATCTTGATGTATTCTTCCCCGAAAATGTGTTGCGGGTTGGACAACCATAAGGCGACAATTCTAGAGTTAGCCTGCAAAAACGCATGTTAGTAATGTTTAGTACGTTTTGGACAGCCAATTATAACTCTCCGGTACAAATGAAAATTTGTATTTAGCATGACCGGAAGAAAATGAATAATTATGAAATCTCCAATGTAAATAATTGTGCAAAAATTCAACAATAATAAGTTAGAATATACAATTTTAATCTAATTTAAAAGTTTTTTATCTAATTATTTTCAACCATTTGAACAACTCATACCATCGAATTAAGATTCAAACCCATTAAATATTAGAAAGCTCCAGATTGGCATGACTACTTAATTGAAGGCCTGATGACTACCTAGAACTAAGTACCTAGATAATATTTTTAGTTTATTTTTTAAATATTTTTGTTCGTTAATACATTGACAAATCGTTCTGCTAACCACTTCCTAGCTTTTGCTTTGTTTGAGGCTAAGTTTGACATCTTTAAAAAAAATTAAAAAGTCAAAAAGTCACTATCCTATTTAAGTCACATCATCTTATTTAAGTCATATCACCTCTCTACCACATCACTTCAAACTCAATCCATATTTCATAAAAAGTCAAAAAATACACTTATTTAGAACATTCCAAACAATGCCTGAATGTGACCAACATGTGGAAATTTAAAGAAAAGGAAAAATGTCAACTACACCGACTTTTAGGTAGGCAGACCAAATGAAACAACTAAATCATGAAAAAAAATCACATTTCCTAGAAAATTCATGGTTTTCAAGTATATGATAAATTACATTAATTACAATTTTTATTTTATTTTTTTCTCTGCAAATGCTGACAAAGGTGCAATATCACACGGGAAAGAAGCACCACTCCGCAAAAGCCAGAGCTCCCCTAACAATAAGATTACGTCCATCATTCATTTAACTTTTTCTTAGCCGTTATGTCAATATTTAGACTGTGTTTAGATTTTTGATTTCGGTATTAATATATGTAAGAAAAAAAAAAGAAATAAAAAGTTAAATATAAATGAAATAAAGAAGCACCACTCCGCAAAAGCCAGAGCTCCCCTAACAATAAGGCCTCGTTTGGTAAGAGGCTATTTTAGTCAAAAAGTCAAAAAGTTACTAAAAAAAGTCAAAAAACCAACAACTCATACCAAAAAGTCAAAGATTCCCTTTTTTCTCTACTTTTTGCACATCTTTTCGTAAAAAGTCAAAAAGTCATCCCAAACATACTAGTTTTTTTTATATCACATTTTAGCCAAATAGCCAAAAAGTTACTAAATTAGCCTGTTCCCAAACGAGGCCTAAGATTACGTCCATCATTCATTTAACTTTTTCTTAGCCGTTATGTCAATATTTAGACTGTGTTTAGATTTTTGATTTCGGTATTAATATATGTAAGAAAAAAAAAAGAAATAAAAAGTTAAATATAAATGAAATATATGTTAATTTTATTACATAATTGTTTTTTATTATTGTAAATTCTTACTCAAATTCATGACTTAAAAACAGGCTTTAATACTGTTTGGATAAGGATTTGAATGGAAATTTGAGAAAGGAAAAAAATAAATAAATAAAAAGCTTCCTTTTCATTCATTTTCACTTTCTTTTTTTTTTTTCTTCTTTTCTTTTTCTAATTTACAAATCACTCAAATTCTTTATCCAATTGCAAACACAAAAGAAAAGAAACATAAATAAATAAAAGACGCGGGAAATAAAAAATATTTGAATGTTAAAGAGAAAAGAATCTGCCAAAGATAAAAAGATTTGATTCCTACCTCTCTTTGCGCTTTTCCAGAAACCTCTGCAGCGACTTTGTACGAGTCTGTCGTAGATCTGCACACCCCAAAAACCAAAAAAATTAGGCTCCGTCAGCTTTTAAAATATAATTCCATATTCATTTTTAAGTGTAGTATTTGTTTAACATTTTTAAAAATTAATTTTATATTTATTTTTAAAAATTCTTTCTAAGCCTCCGTTTTGGGTTGATTTTTGACTTTTTAATTTTTTTGACTTTTTTAGTTTGGGCTAAAAAGTTTGGTTTGGGAATGATTTTTTGATTTTTTTGTGAGAGAAGAGTGTAATGATTATGAGTTGGATGTGATGTTTTGTTTGTTGTGGCTAAAATAACCTATTTTATCTTTTGTGACTATTTTAGCCCCAACCTTACTTGCCAAACGGACCTTAAGTAAAAAATTTAGACTAAGGCCTCGTTTGGGAACATGCTAATTTAGTAACTTTTTGGCTATTTGGCTAAAAAGGTAGGTAAAAAAAACTTGTATGTTTGGGATGACTTTTTGGCTAATTACGAAAAGATGTGCAAAAAGTAGAGAGAAAAGAGAATCTTTGACTTTTTGGTATGGGTTGTTGGCTTTTTGGCTAATTTAGTAACTTTTTGACTAATTGGCTAAAATAGCCTCTTGCCAAACGAGGCCTAATTGATAGGCTCACCACACACATTCCACCGGTCATCAGATGGTTGACCGAAATAGTATTTATTTTTATTTTTTTTCTTTTTGCACATTATATTACAAAAAAATATTTGTGAAGTTTTTTTAATTTTTTATGAGTTTTAAATAGAATTTTGAATTATGTGTTTCGTTATGAATTCTAAGTTTTTATATCAAATGTATATCGCATCATTTAAAACTTTTTTCAAAATTCATATAATCAAACAAATTTTTCACTCTCAAATCATAATTACAAATCTCACAAACACAAAATACAACTCTATTATCAAATCATAATTTTAAAATTCTACCAAACACTACCCAAATTTTTTTCTTTCATTTCTAATCATAATTATTTTTCAAATCTAAAAATTGATAATATAAAATAAATATATATATATATATAATAAAAAAAAAAAGAATATTAAGAGGGGCTTACCTCCCTTGAGAGTCTCCAGAAGTTGATGTTGATCTGTTGAAGACAACGCGAGTTCTGGATTTACAGATTCAACAGTTTTGGATACTCCTCCCTTTGCAATTTTCAAAATGTTTTCTGCCTGAACGATTATTAACAGCTTCAATCAGTTCATATACTCCGAATTGATCAACAAACAACGCAAAAAACACGAAAATTGAAGAGAAAAAAAAATTGTTAGATTATTGTGAGAAAAACCTCGTGCCGAGGGACATCGAAAACCGTAACGGTTCCGTTGTAGAAAATCGTCAATGGACCAGATTCAGGAGTGCTTTGATCAGAACCACAAGTATTGCTCCTGGAAGATGAAAGCAAGAATGTTATGATCATTGTTTGTGATTAGTTTCGATTTTGATGTTTCTGAACTAATTCTTCAGTACATAAAACAGAAAAAAATTTTAATTACCGGAAGGTCGGAGTGTAGAGGGGGAAAGCGGGAAAGACATTCTCTTCGTGTTTCGGAGTCACCGGGACTGAAAATGAAGACGATTTTGACAAATTGGTGCTCTGGTCCACAGAGCCAGAAGCAATCACAGTCTTCAGAAGCTCGGGATTCATCTTTGAAACGAAACTTTGAATATCTGCATATATATATGTATATATGAAGATCAGATACAACGAAATGATTTTCACATAATAATAGAGATAATGAATTTAAAAATAATGAATTTTAAAAACGAAATCAAATTGATGAGGACGAACCTCGAAAGCTTCGACGGCGATCGAAGAGCTTATTGGGAAGAGGTTTGGAGGAGCAGTCTCTCTCCATTCTGAAGAAATCGAGTTCAACAGCTGATCTCGATGCCATTTTGATGTTCAACTCTTTTTCTCTTCTTTCTTAATTATATATGCTTTTGAACGGCGTTGAGCAAAACAACGGAGAATAGAATATAAATGCCAAGACAGAGACAGGGGTGTATTGTATTATAATACGCACGAGATAAATGAGAAACAGAAAATAGTGGGGTCGTTGTTTGTTGGGGGAGGCAATTGGCACATCTTTCACGAGGTGTCACAAGTTAAAGAAGCAAAAGAAAAAAGAAAGCAGGCAGGGACTTGCCTGAATTACTGAAAAGTAGACTCTGCATTTTTGTGGCTTGCACTACTACTCCTATGACTTGACTTAAAACACCCTATATCTCTATCTAATCTTTAAAATAGACATGTGAAATATATGAGGTTTTTGAAAAGTACAAGATGATGGTGAGACTTTTTTGCCCTTGTTGCTAGAGTCATAAGGACGAAATCACCCTTTACATTTGCACTTTTTTCTAGGGGCTCCATGCAAGGAGAGAGAAAATGTCAAACAAATGAGGAAAAAGGGTCAACAATGTTAGAAATATTTATATATTTACTAATAATTTTACTAACATATAAGTTTTAATAAGATTAATTATTACTTGGTATAGGACTCACATTAATTTATTAGTGTGTTAGTAACATTATTAGTATCCCTAGTATTTTTTAAAAAAGATTTTAAATTCTTATTTGATTTGTGTTTTGAGATATTATTATAAAAATAATTTTTTTAAGAAAATTTAAAATTTTAAAAAATTATTTGATTATATATTTTGAAAATAATTTTAAAATTTTAAGATTTAGAATGATTTGATATTTTTTTATAATTAAATAAATAGATATAAGAGAAAAAATAATTAAGAATGAAAGACCATCACTTTGAACAAAAAAAATGAGGCACCACTCAAGGCTGCCTTTCGTAAAGAGCAAAAGCACCGAAAAGGCAAGGAGAATGTGGAACATCAACTAAAGGTGAGTTTGGAAATTTCAAAAAAAAAAAAAAATGATTGATTGATATGTAATGGAAAAAAAATTGATTTTTATTTTTATTTTTTTAAAAAAATTTCAACCAAACATGTTTTTCGAAATTTTTTCACCAAAAATATGTTTTGAGAGAGAAACTAAGGCTAAGTTTGACATCTACTAAATAATACAAAAAGTCACTATCCTATTTAAGTCACATCATCTTATTTAAATCACATCACCTCTCTAATACATCACATCAAATCCAACCCAAACCTAATCCATATAAGCTAATAAGTCAAAAAGTGTACTTTTTTAGAACATTACAAACCAACCCTAAATATGTTTCAAATTTATAAAAGTGCACAATTTACTTGTCCGAATCAAAATGAATCAACTGCTTATATTTTTACGAATTTAAAAATATTTTTAACAATTTTTGCCTTTTTATCATGCGAGTTTGATTTCATTCCCATGCTGATAAGTTGTAATAGACTACACACACTTTATTATTAATTTAAGTCGTAAGATTTATTATTTTAAATATGCTCATTACACTATATGGCTTTGTTTGCGAATTGGGTTCATCTTTTTGACGTTTGTGAGGGAAAGAAAAAAAAAAGTGAAATGATTATGATTTATGTATGACATTTTATTTTATTGAATTTTTAATTTATTTTATCTTTTTATAACTAATTTAACCAAAAAATTAAAAAAAAAAAACCCACTTGCCATTTTCTTGGTTTTTTTATTTTTTATTCTATGAGTATGTGCTTGACTTTTATTTTTTTAATTTTTAATTATTAATTCTTAATTTACAATAAACAAATAGACCTAACCTAACCTTATCGACACAACAGTTTCTTCAAAGTTGTTGAACCAAACCCTTGTTCCCTGCTTCACGCCACAGAGCACCGTTATGATGTAGAGCCATCGCCTGACATTCCATGTGGCTTTAAGACATACTTGGGTTGCGGTTGCATGAGTAAGGGGAAGTTTGGGAAGTATTAAATAATTTATTCTTTTATCTTTTTATTTTTTTTATCATATTATTTTTTTATTTTTTTATTTTTTTATATATCTTTTCGTAAAAAGACAAAAAATATATTTATTTAGGTCATTCCAAATAACTCTTAAATATTTGGATAATCAGTCCCTATATCTCTTAATTTTTTTTTTTAAACTTCACCTTTAATAATATAGTTACGACTTATATAAAGCGGTTTTACATTGTTCTTTCTGTCATTTTTAATTTCTCTAATTTCATATCATTAAGGGTAGAATTGAAGAGACAAAATTAAGAAGATGAACCATTTTTCTTTAGATAATTTCAATTTATAACAATCCCACAACATTTCCTAATCTTGCCCCTCCCCCCACTTTCACCGCAATGACGTAATACCCATGTGAAGAGATCTCACACTCCATCTTTAGCCCCTCTAATTCCACATCATTGGGATAGAATTGAGAAACAAAATTATGAGATGAATCATTTTTAATGAGTACTTCAATTAGTACCCCATTTATTATTTTGGACTCCCATTTTCTTGACCTTTTTTCTTACTACAATAATAACCTTAAATGAAATTACTAAAGAGGATATCAATTATTTTGGGACACACCATCTCATAAATAAACTCACACACCCACTAAATAAAGAGTTTATGAGAGCATTTACTTCCACCATGTGACAACCCTCACCTCTGATTACTACTAAACTGTGAATGAATATGATAAGTAACTGATTATGAAGAAATCCTAAACTGATTGCATGAGTGTATTGTCTGTAAATGCATTTCTATCTGTTTGACTATTAAATGATCTGTTCGTGTTTTAACTTTGAATTGCGAATTAAAGGCCTTATCGGCTGCCAAATCTGAAATTGATTGGTGTTTTATGTTAATTAGAATTTATGTGATATTATGGTAGATTTAATTTAAATTTGATTTGGTATGATTAAATTAGATTAAATAAAGCTAAATCGCATTAGTTCAAGTTATTTACGAAATTGCCATTGAGTGGATTGACTCAAAAACCCACCCTTATTATGCCTTATACATTTTTGATGCATCATCTTCATTTCCTCTAGAGATCAAAAACGTGAGAGAGAGCTAGAGAGTTTGAAGAAATTGACTTCACCTAAATTGGCTTGGAAAATTAGAAGACTTGAAGAGCATTTGCAAAATTGAGCTTCTATACCTTGAATTCAAGACCTAAGGTAGAGATTCCATCCTCTCATTTGTACATTTGAGTTGTATATTGCATGGTTCATGGTAATTTAGAGTTTAAAGTCAAGGATTAATTTGAAGAGTTGAATTATGAGCTAATTCATGCATGCATGTTCATATTCTTGCATTTTGAGGTTGTTTTGCATGAATTCCTTCCATACATGTGTATATTTCGAATGTAGTTCATGAATTTATCATGTTCTTGAGCTTAATCTTGCATTTGGTCAAGTTTTAGAGCACTTAATTCATAAGAGTTCTTGCATGTTATGTTTTTACATAGTTCATGAGAGTTTCTTTGAAATTGTGTTCAATTGATTTACCTTTGGGCTTTGATTTTGCAAAATTGGTCTTACATGTTGTTTTATGGGTTACCAAGTGTTTTCCAAAGTTTTGGTCCAGAAAAATGAGTTTTTGATGGTTGAATGTTGAATTTCATGTTTGGAGGTCAATCTGGATTTTTCAGAAATTTGACCCACGCTCGAGCGAGGACTTTCACACTCGAGCATGAACCCTGAGTACATGCATTCCGCTCGAGCGGCGAGAGTTACGCTCGAGCGTGAAATGCGTATACTCAGAAGTTTGTGTGTTTTGCAATCCGCTCGAGCGAGAGAGTTCACGCTCAAGCGAGGACCTGAGTCTCACGCTCGAGCGGAGGTCGAGCGTCCGTCGAGCATGAATTGCATGCATCCTGTACTTTTCTTGGAATTTACAGTCCGCTCGAGCGAAGGATGTCACGCTCGAGCGGAGCTCCTTTGTCTGCATGTCCGCTCGGGCGTAGAAAGCCACACTCGAGCGAGACCCATGTTTTTTGAAAATTTTGAAAATTATTTTAAAGTACATCTTTGCATCCTCTTTCCATCCTAGGCATTCTTAGGCCATGTTTAAGGCATCTTAATGAGGATTTTGATGTAGAACTACACTAAGTCGAGTTAGGGACTAAGTTGTTGATTCCCAAGTGTGTAACTTAGTGTGTGTTCGTTCTGTAACTGTGTAGGGTTGGCATCCGAGGACGCTCATTAGCTACTTATAGCCCAGTGCTCTGTGAGTAACAATGTTGTAAAGATATGTTCAATTATGAATATTTTTTGAATGATCAACTCTTCTGTTTACTGAAACGTTATTGTTTAATGAACGAATGTTTGTCCTATTTGTAAACTGTATTCGTGGCATCCTTAGCAACTTACTGTTACTGTACTATTACTGCTACTGCCACAGAGATCTCTGTCGATTCCCAAGCTTGGAACCACTACTGTTACTGTTATGATGGCCATCAACTGACTGTTCGGTCTGTTAAGACCTACTGTACTGCTTTGCTATTGGATGTACCACATATAACTGTTATGGTTTCTAAATGACTGATATGACTGTTTAATTACTGAAAGGACATTCTTAACCTCTTTACATAGTTGTTATTTACTGTGTTTTAGCTCACTATTTATATTTATATGTAGGTGTTCAGGCACCGGATCGATGCTAGGAGCGTCGGGTTAACTCCCTTTTTGCCAAGCCAACCATTGTGCCTCACCTCGAGGTTCCAAGTCTGACCGAGCTAAGATTGTTTTAGAGTGTCTCAGTTTCACCCTTCCGTCTCTGTTTTGTAATACTGTTTAAGACTTGTACTGTACTTTGAGTGTTTGTACATATGGTATATATATGTTTTGCTTATGAATGTGAATATGTTCGAAAAAGTCTTTTTGCATACAGACTGTCACAGCTCATTGGACATCTTTTATTGCTGTTTTGGCTTCTGCCAGTCCCTGTACTCTGTATTATTGTCTTTACTGTCAAGCAGGCCTTCGGTAATCACGGATTACTGGCCGGTTACAGTGCTAAACCCATAGGGGCGGGTTTGGGTCGTAACACATCACTGTACATCCATA